ACTACTCTAATGCTGTTCCTTTACACCTTCACCGGATGATAGGGGGCGAGTGCACATACACTCCAATCCCGCGGAAGGACTTCTGTAACGGCTGAATGCCAACTCTTGCCTGACGGATTTAGTCTGAGAGCACTGTTAGGGGTTCGAACTTCGGCTTAGGCTGACGTAATTTCGATCCCCATTTGAATTGAACGGGAAATGGAATGTAAAAATGGTATGTAAAATCTTATGTGTTCTTTTCTTAAAATGTAAAAAATAAATACATCGTTCAATTAGTTTAATCATAGCAATGAGTAAACCTATCGCCGTCACACGTATTCAAATAGGATTGTTAGTAATAATTTCATCTATAATAAAAAAAATCATTGCGAAGTCAATCAGGTTCTTTTACACAAACTGTTTTATTTTAGACTAGCTGTGCCCGTGACTTCGTCCACGTGTTATATTGACCTTAACCAAATAAAGAAAAAATATTAAATAATCTAACCCAAAAAAAATATTCGTATTCAAAAGTAGTCTACGTCCTTTCTCAGGATCTAGACAATCTGTGTACAAAATTTAATTTAAATCAGTTCAGTAGTTTTAGCGTGAAAGCGAGACAGACAGACAGACAGAGCTACTTTATAATATTAGTAAGGATTACAGATTCATCGTTTATGCTGAATTGATTTTCCTCCCGTTTCACAAAATCCTATTAAAGCAAATCACTGATAAACATGAACTGTAAAGTGAATTTCTCAGACAGCGACGGCATGTATCATATTATTCAGAAGCATGTAATTTTGAGAGGTGTTGAAGTTTACTGTTGGTATCATGCCTTTCAATCTGAAACATGTCAATGTAAAATCTGCTTTATGACATAAATACGTAAGAACTAAAATTGTATCTATTCAGTCAATATCAATAAGATCGATTGATTAAACTGATTAAACAAGGCCATAGCTAGGTTAAGAACGAATCAATCGGTCTGAATCCCAACAATCATTGATTAATAGTTTCAATCCTAGTGAATCGTGAACTTAATCATCTAATTCGGCAACAGGCTTTGTGCAGTCTGTCCTTTTTTATATGGACGACGTTTTTTACAAATGGGATAATAGAGGGAAGGGAATTGTTAGCAAGTGGACTAATAGCCACGCCATTACTAACAATGTATAGTACAGTCAGGTTGACCTCCTCACTATTTTATTTTTAATTTTTTTTTTTTCTTATTTTTTTTGTTATTCCCTCTGGAAACCATCGTGGTAAATTGGTATATGATTAATTAGATGGCTTCAGTGGTCTAACGGTTTAGCACAATGCTTTAATTCTGATGGTCGCGGATTCGATTCCTCACACGGTATAAATATTTGTATTTATGAGTATGATTGTTTGTATCCGTCTGGGTGTTTTCTATGTATATTATGTGTGTCTTTACAAATACGTATCTACTTTTTTTATATATATGTATTTACAAAAAAGTATATATTTATTTGTACCCATAACACAAGCTCTGCTTAGCTTGGTACTAGATGTCGCTGTGTGAATTGTCAAAGGAAAAAAGGAAGAAAGGAACAATATTGGCTACGATGGGCCAATTGACCGGACATCATGCTTATTTTATCATCCTCCACTGGTGGCTCATCAGCGTAAACCGTTTGTGCAGGCGGGTGTGTAATTCCATTATCATCTACAAAAAAAAATGGGAGTTACACCTTTTTTACCCTAATAGATTGTTCGTAGCTGAATTATTCAAAGATGAATAAATGATTACTAAATGTTGTGTAATTATTTTCGAGTTTTACGTTTGTGCCTACTCCATTAAAATATTTTTCAAAAGAAAGTACCTTTATGTTTTTGTAAACTAAGTAGTACTATTTTACATAATATTTTAATTATAACTTAATTATATAAGTTAGTACAATAGTATAAACATGTAAATGTACTTAGTGAAATCTTCTAATTAACTTTACTTTTTTATCCTTACATATATTATAATAAAATCGTAAAATCGTGACGACATAAATATGGTTTTATTGTAAGGTTTCACTTAAATACAGTTGTTAGAATTAGGGTCAAATTTTAACAAAATATATTCAACATGTATGGCACAACAGACTAAATATAGCTTACAAAAAGGCCACCTACAATTTTATTCATAAAATATTAGATATTAAATGGCGTCGTAGTCAATTATAAAAAAAATCTCTTCTTAAAAAAATCGAATCAAGCGTAATGAATGATTTTTCGTCAATATGATTATTGAAATGCAGACAATATGCGACATTTTATAAAGGCAAATGTCAAAAATAATCAGTTCTATTATAAGATAAGGGAAACAATTTATTCAATTTTAACTTTTATACCAATTAAAATAAGTTTCAAATCGAGTTTTCCACGAATACACTTCAAATAGACGGAATTCGTTCCTAATCCGTAGCTGGAAATATAAACAGATGTAATAAATTTCTGTACTAAACTTTTCTCTAAATCGTTTAATTATTTGCTTTAAATTATTTTAGAATTCTATTGAAATTATTAATTGTTTGTATTAAATACAGAGGTAGAAACAGACGACACAATTACCTTTGTTTTTATGACGACACTTCGCTTTACTTCCAATGGTCGCAGATTTGATAACTCCCACGGTCCAAAACATTTGTGTCGATGAGTATGATTATTTGTATCGGTCTGAGTGTTTTTTATGTATATTATGTATCTATGTATATATGTTTATTTACAAAAATATAATCTATGTTTTTAAATCAGTTGTCTAGTACCCATAATATAAGCTTGGAATTAGATATCGCTGTGTAATTTTTCGGAATTATTGTTATCGGTATCTTGAATATATTGAATGTCAAGAAGTGTACGGAGGTGTTTGGTTTGATATTCAATATACACATACGTTCCCTTCAATATAGAAAGTATTTGGCATCGGGCGAAACCAGAGAAAAGGAAACAAGATACCGATTCACGTTACCAATTTCATAATAATTTAATGTTAGACATAGACACCTATATAAATATACATTGTAAATAAACTGGCTTTTAAAAAAAAAGTAATTCAATTGAGTTTCTTGCCAGTTCTTCTCAATTGAATCTATATACCGGCCTGGACGGTAAGGAAAAAATTAAAATTATTATGTAAAACTTTGACGTTCATAAGTGGCTAAAATGTCCTATATGAATAAATGATTTTGAATTTGAATTTGAACTGTCTTCCTAATATCCGTTAAAAGGCAGGAAGAGCTTTTTGAGAAGGGCAAGAGTTCTAACCAACAACCTGTGGAAGTCAAACCAGCCGAACACCTGCCCTCAGACAGCGACCTACAATGGCCTAATGGGAAATTCCTTAATAGACTGTGTATCCAGGTAGGCCGTTGGAGGAACAATTTAGTGAAATGGGGTTTCATTTCAAGGGAAGCTTGCGACTACGGAGAACTATCTCAGACTATGACTCACCTACTTTCCTGTCCTTTGTGCCTATCATTCTGCTCTAAAGAAGAGTTGAAAATGCACCCAATGCGCAAAAGTCGTCCTAACATTTTGCGATAAAAACATTTAATTGCCATTGAATCGAAAGAAAAAGTCCAAGAAATGGAACTCACTGGTATTGTTGCTAGCAATACATCATATATTGACCTTCGGGCGATCCTCCCTGGCAAGTATTGGTCATTTCTTAATTAATTAATTCATAACGACGAGTTAATCGGTTTAACTTAGGCTCAATTTATCATCCTCCACTCACCGGAGGGAACATGGACCGATAATCTTATTGCTAGCAATGTTCCATGTTAGGTTGACCTCCACGCGGTTCCCTCTGGAAACCATCGTGATAAATCCCAGATGAATTTGTCACAACGGGTGCACCATTTCATCCTCATATAAAAAAAATTGGTAGCTCACCAGCCGCATTGTGCTACAAAAATACACAGCTACAAAAATAGACACAACTGCTAGAGACAGAAATATGTAAATTTCTATATATGTCAGGTGATTGTTAAAACACGCATTTCTAGTACTCAACGTGTAGTTATAGTCCAACTTTCTATTTATTTCCTAGTATCAATTAACATGCATTGAATTATGTTACGGTTTAAAGGACAAGAGGCCCAATGAAATTATTACGAACGTGTAGGTTTGATTAGTAACCATGGACTGAGTACTGTGTATATTATATCTTGGTAATATCATAAACGCATAAGTTCGTGAGTAAGGAAGGATAGATGGATGCATATTTGTTACTGTTTCACGCAAAAACTACTTAATGAAAATTGATGAAACTTTGCAACAATACAGCGTATACATCAGAATAACATATAGGCCATACGGGCGACATATAATGATAATGCAGACGAAGTTGCCTTGGTCAGGTAGTATATTAATATTTCTGTCAATTTGTAACAGAAATACAAATTATAAATGTTTATTATTTATTTTTTAAATTGTTTTATAAGGCATACGAAATTCCTTAAATATACACTTTAAAATATACAACAGTATTATGGACGTGTTCTCAAAAATTAATTATATAATAACTATCCAAAATTATGAAGGGTAGGGGGAAAAAGGTTGTGTGTAGTGGCTACTTGAGGACTTGCTGTGCAGTTGGAAATCATCTTGTTAATTCCTTGTGCTTTCACCACGATGGACTAACTGACCAGACTATTCTATCATCCCCTACTCATGCATCGCTGGCATATACAATTATTATGTTTTATAATCTATAAATAACCTCGTTATCTATGAATTACTTACTCTATATAGTTTAAGCACTTATCAATTGACGTAATCATGATGGAAGACATGACTAATACAAATATAAATGAAATATATGTTTAATTTATAAAAATATATAACTATTACTCATCGGTACATAATTATCTATTACGTTTACAAAATTCATATAAAAAACAAACACGCTCTAGAAAAAGTAATATGTAAACAATTCTGAATTACCCGTTAACTGTGAAAAACGTACTGTAGAAACTTTAATGAACAACAATGCAAATACTTACATAGCAAATCCATCGGAATCCATGTTAAACTCGCCGAAAATACGAACGGATCGAAAGAGAAATTCGCAAACCCAGTTTTTTATCTCCTTTTGCGTCGGACGCCGATTACATGTCTCGTCACTTTTACTGCACACAAAATGTCGTGGAAAAAAGTCATAAGATACACTTGGAGACACTAATAATTGCACACACAATATTTCTTTCTAATATATCCTTGGATAGCACACGCGGATTTGATTTATGCCGAACTCAGTTTCTTCGCCAGTTGTGTCTGCGCGTATCACATCACCAGTTGACAAAACGTCGTATGTCACCTATGTAACTTTCGTTGGCTGTATTTCTTACTGTTTACGTCCATACGAGTTGCCTTGGAGAGATTGCAATGGTGAATGCTCTCACTGTGCATGTTTTGTCTCTGTTTCACTCTGCGCAAACGCAAGCCTTTACGATAGAATCTCATTCGAATCTCGATAAAAGTGTTCCTCAAACAACTTTTTCTATGACGAGTTTAGAAGTCACCTTAAAATTATCAACTCATTATAATAAAGAATTGAAGTAGTTAAAATATAAACATAATCTTTACATGTTACATATTCTGAATAAGTTTCTACATTATAGGATATATTAGAACGAGGAAAATTAATATTTGCAAATATTCTTTGCTACAAAATATACAATATACTCTGAGATATGGCTATAGAAATGTTTTATATATAGATTCCATTCATAAATATCTACTCACATTGTATGTAATAATAATTATGCGTAATATTTTTTTTATTTCATTCATATGCGTCATATAACACATAACAAAAACAAAGTAGTGAGAACATATGTATATGTTATCATTGCTTTCTTTTTGTTATGTAGATATATTTTATTTTACGTTTATTTCTACTCGTATGTTGTCTGAAGTTAAGAAGTGTATTTTGTTGTGTTATGTTCATTTTTAATTTATAGTGTTATTTATTGTTATATGTATATTTGGTGGAGATGTTGTACTGCAACCTATGGCTCAGATGTAATACTTAATTTAGGTTATCAGGGTGTCCATATTGCATTACGTTTTTTGTCATTTGATTGCCTAGAACTAATATCAACTGTTTTGTATTGCTCCTTTTAAGTGTTGTAATTTTACGGCATATAAAATAAAATCTGTATTATTCTAAATAAATAATTTATCTATCTATCTATCTATTCGACTTATAAACGAGTTCCAATAGTTACGGGTGAGACAGGTGAACGCACTTGACCGATAGATCGCGTTTATTCCCGAGGCCGTGACGACGTGGGCAGTCAACAATGGATTAAGACATTGACATTCTTTTATAGCATTTACTCAAATTAAAACTTGTCAAACAATGATATTATTGTCACAAGAAAATAAAGCATGCGAGAGAAGTTTAATGGATATTAATTTAGGTCACGTCGCAGAAAAGAAAGTGTACTTGTGGATGTTATTAAAATCATATCGTCAGATTTATTTTTATCATTGTATGATTATTGGACGTGAATAGATTGACATGGAGTTCTGAAGTAAATTTGTATTAATTTCTTAAAATCTTTGATAATTGGATGGTAGTGGATTAACATGGAGTACTAATTGTATTAGAATCTTATTGTATTATAATCTTATTTGTGTTAGAATCCTGTTTGTATTAGAATCTTAAATTGACCCAAACGTGAATAGAACTCGTGTATCCTCAGTTATATACAATAATTAGGCACCAATCATTAGGTAATCGCCATTGCCCAATATGTGAGGAGCGGGGGAATGGGATTGTTAGTAATGAGGAATAGCAACCACATTAGTAACAATTTGCCATGTTAGGTTGACCTCCACACGGTTCTCCCTGGAAAATATCTTGATAAATTACTGGTGTATTTGTCACAAGCTAACTGACCCGAAAACTTGCTCATCTTATCACTCTCCAACGGTGCCACCATTGGGTAAGGTGATTGTTAGTAACGTGGACTGCTGACCCTATTGCTAGCAATGTACCATGTCAGGTTGACCTTCACGCGGTTCCCCCTGGAAACCATCGTGATAAATACCTGGTGAATTTGTTACGATGAGCTAACTGGCCTGACCTCATTTTCATCTTATCATCCCTCACTGGTGCCCCGCCAGCGTAAACCGTTAGCGCAGGTGGGTGCTCCATTCCATTATCATTCATAAAAAAAAATAGTGCCACCAGAGCATAAACCGTCCATTCCAAACGTGATGGAAAGCTGAGATTGGAGTATTGTCTCTGATTAATAATCTCACTGATGATTCTGAACTGTGCAGATCAATGTATTAGTGATTCAATGATATTTTGTAACTTGTACTGCAAACAAACTAATAGCCTACCTAATGATAAGTGACCATCGCTTATAGATATGGCATGATTTGACTGCCACCGGTGATACAAAATAAATTTGTGACATTCATTCCTGCGTTATATTCCTGTAAAATAAAGTGCATAGACTATTCCCCAGGAATTGTAATTGTACTTGACATTTTACTGACATAATTTACCTAAACCTCAAATATAATATAATATATATTTTTCATAATTTAATAATGAATTTATTGTGACCGACCAGGATGCAAATTGTATTTAGTAATTGCTAGAGAAATCGTCAAACTTACTGCTGTTGTGTGTGTACGGTAACATAAAAAAACATATAAGAAATCCTCTTTTATCTCATTATTTACTAAAAATCCAAACCTATTTTGATGATTTATTGACAAAGGATAATATTTACTTCCGTGTCGGTTCCACACTAATTAGATCATGATTAAAATCGGTTGCTTTATGAAACAAAATGTTTAATTATCGTATCTATCTCCCGCTGTCATTTTAAAATCTATGATGATCTCATCTGTACGGAGATGACGTACAGATTACAAAATGAGTAGATAATGGTATCTAAAACGTAAATTTGGCATTATGCGACGTATATTTGATTTTAGCTTTTAACTTTGATGATCTATATAATATGAGTATAATATACAAAATGAGATAATGCTATCTAAAACTTAAATTTGGCATTATGCGACGTAAATTTGATTTTAGCTTTTAATTTTTATGTTCTATAGTATATATAATATAAGTATAATATACAAAATGAGATAATGATATCTAAACGGTCAATTTGGCATTATACGATGTATATTTAATTTTAGCTTTTAATTTTTATGTTCTATTTTGATAATCAATTATGACGTTCTTTCTAATATACTCGTAATTGTTTTTGCATGGAATTTTCATTCAATGTAAGGCAACAGTGCGAAAGTAAGCTATAATATTAGTTACATACGAAATGATGTCTTTCTAATACCCATAATAGGTAATCTACAAACGAATAAAATTGAAGTGTATGTTTATTATTTTTAATTTATAACTTTACACTAAATGCATTTGAAAGTATATGGTACTTACATAAAAAAAATCTAATAATTTTTATCTATTTCTTCTTGTTAATCTATAGTGTTCGTTGACTAAACATAAGAAATGAAAGTTTATATAAACAGCAGGCGAAGTCGTGTGCAATATATAGTCATTAATAAAAAAAAAGGTATTATGCCGACATTATTTTTTCAAACTTTAAACTTGTTTGTCATTTATTTTCGCACTATTGTCATTATTTTCTTACTTCATTCATACGTGTACGCTAATGACTTTCTATGTGTTACACACGTCGCGTTTCATTCACTTTCTTCCAATAGTTCTGCTTGAATGGAAACGAAACTCAATATCATCCGGTTCCTAAGACCTGCGTTTAATAAGAATTTGTTCCCAAAACATAGGTATCAGTTGTACTTTTATATGTATACCTGTTTCTTTTATTTATTTATTGAGAGGTTTGAGCTATTGTTAGGTGCTTGGACCTGTAGACACTGCAACCTACATAGATCTATTGTGCTCGCCCTTTTTCAGAGTTCGCTACCTAGACTCGTCAGGTACAAGAATTGAAGGATGGTTTTTATCTCCTCAGGATAGAGGGAAAACTTTCCAAAGGAGATATTTCGTTTATGCATGAGTGGTCTACAACAACGTAGGATGTGTAGTGGTGTTTCCTGTTCAGTTTAGCATGTATACCTATAGGTTAATAAAAAGTGCAGGAAAAATACTAAGAATACAGAGATATATATGAACCATTGACAGGAAGAAGAAGTATAAACAAAATTGTACAATAACAGAACTACTGAGGACAGTCTCCGTGGTCCAACGGTTTAGCACATCGCTTATTGCTTCCATTGGTCGTGTTTGATTCCTCGAACGGTACAAACATTGGTATTTATGAGTATAATTGTTTATATCAGTCTGGACTGCTCTCGCTATGTAGCTGGCAAAAGTAGGCCTCAGCTTAACAACATATCCTATATATTTATAGGCCACTCATGCATAAACAAAATATTTTCTTTGAAAATTATACACTATAACCTGAGAAGATTAAAACAATGGCTATTAAGAAGATTCTTCAATTCCTAGGTAGCGAAATTTGAAAAAGGACAACCACAATAGATCTGTGTAGGTCACAGTGTTATAGTTTAAACAACTAACAGCACAAAATCCACAATAAAAAAAAAATCATTGGAAAAACGTTTCTGATAAGCCAGTTACAACTATTGATAAAATCATCAATCAGTAATGTACCAACGAAAGGAAACGCAATTGTATTATGAAAAATATAGTTAAAATCACTGCATACTTGATGACTATATCGCGTGATGTACAGACGTAACGCTATGGATTACACAAAAAGAATTTTGTATATGTAAAGTTATATACAAGATTTTAAAAATATAAAATACAATTTTCTTAAATAATACTGTCAGAGAATTGACTAAAATATATGTTCTAATATATAAAACTAGCTACTCGCCCCGTCTTCGCCCGGGTGTACATGTATTATACATACAATCCTTCCTATTGAATAACTCGTATCTATTAAAAAAACTGCTTCTAAATCCGTTCCGTAGTTTTAAAGATTTAAGTTTACATAGGGATGGACAGACGGCGATAGCGACTTTGTTTTATACTATGTAATGATTATGTACCAACATTAGTTGCCATACTTTAACGAAACGACTTACCCGATTTTGATGAAATTTTATATGTACGATTATTTTAGATGTATTATAGTCTAATCTCAGACCTACTCAGGTCTGAGATTAGACTATCTATTGTTTCTTTGCCAAAGTGATAAGGGTGGCCACCTCAGTTTTTTAAAATTTATGGACAACATTTTTTATTTCTAAAATTCTGCAATTTTGTACAAAGAAGAGATGGCTCAGTAAAATCTTCCTTCCAACAAAATCATAATTATCCAAAAGAAATGCTTTGTGAAATAATAATCCCCAGTAGCCAAGACAATATCCGG